GTTAGCAGCTTAACTGATTCCGTACTGTTACGGTTCTGTATAAACCCATCTTTAAACATTTATGCCCAAGTGAGAACAGCTTAAGGAAGACTTATGATATTAAACTAATTGACTTGAAAGTAACGTGCGATAATCGTGTATACAGCGAAACAGAAAATTGCAACCCACCGTTCAAACTTCCTTAAGAAATGAAACACGTTTCACTGCAATCGGAACTATGTGTGCAGCTTCCTTCTTCCTGTTCATTTATAGCAGAAGATGTAACTGTTTTTTTTCTATGTAATCGTACCTTTACTGTTGTTCTACATAAGACTGTTGCAGTATGCATCAAACGAGGCAATGCGCTCATGAGTGTTTGTATGTATAAAAGGAAAAATAATACTAAAATTTCATAAACGAAATATTCATCATCCCAAGCTTTCCGTCTTACTATTTATCGACCCACAGTTATTTATTTTACTGTTCATCAACCCACAGTACTCTGTCTTACTGTTCATCAGGCTACAGCACTCTGTCTTACTGTTCAACAACCCAGAATACTCGTCTTACTGTTCATCAGGCTACAGCACCCTGTCTTACTGTTCAATAACCCCAGGTACTATGTCTTACTATACATCAACCAACAGCTCTCTGTCTTACTGTTCAATAACCCAAGGTACTCTGTCTTACTATACATCAACCAACAGCCCTCTGTCTTACTGTTCATCACGCCACAGCACCCTGTCTTACTGTTCAATGACCCAAGGTACTATGTCTTACTATACATCAACCAACAGCTCTCTGTCTTACTGTTCAACAACCCAAGGTACTCCGCCTTACTATACATCAACCAACAGCTCTCTGTCTTACTGTTTACCAGCTTATATCACTCTTTTCCACTGTTTATCAGTCTACACCTCTTTCTCTAACTGTTCACCAGGCCACAGTATTCTTTACCACTGTTCATCAGTCCACAACATTTTTCAGTCTGTAATTTAAGAATTCTCTAATCTCAAGTATGTCTGTGGTGTTAAAAAAAGTTAGTGAACGCTAGGGAAGCATACAAAACATGGTTTAATATATAGTAGAATAAAGAGCATTTGTATGTCTCGGTAGTGACATTGTCTTTATGCCGAAACTTTGTGTATTTAAATGAAAGATATTTGAGTTTGTTTAAAAGTAGTTAAGAAATGCGTAATGTCGTTTTCAACGATGACTGATTTCCCACCTTAAAGAGTGTTTTACTAGATAATTCTTTTTAAGTTTCATTAAGTTTTTACTTCATGTATAGAACACATTCTGGGAATGTTTTGAAGTTATGTTATTCAAATCACGGTTAATTAAAAACACTAAACTACATCCACTAATATCCCTTCTTTTGCTCAGCCCTAACCACTTGACATTCGCAATCTCACGTTCTGCTCTTATTCATAATTCTTTAAATGAAATATGATAACAAGAAATTATTTTTATTTTCGAAATGTTTATTCAGTCTATCTAGTTTGTAGTCATTTCAATAAAGTAGCTTTGCACTTGCAGTGACATGTACTTCTAATTTAGAAATACATTATTTTTATAATATCGTAACCTTCATTTTTTTTCTTTATTTCATTTACATTTTTTCATAGTATTTAATCAAATATCGCTCATTTATCGTAAAATCTTTTTTTTTTCAGTTTCATAATCAAAAGATTTATCTAATCACGTTCCAACTGCTTCGCAACTTTCAATCGATCTCAATGAAATTTTTCATTCTCACTTAATTCGCATTCAGCCTCTTAATTATTTTTCATTCCAAACCAGGAGTCCTCCGGTGAGGTAGCGGTAAGTTTATGGACTTACAATGCTAAAGTTCGGGGTTCAATTCCCCGTGGTGGACAGAGCGAAGATAAACCATTGTGTGCTAAAACAAACAAAACCAAAACGAAGAATCATTTCTTCTTCCAATTGTTCTAGGGAATCATAAAACTTTCTCTTCTAGAAGAAAGACTGTTAACTGAAAATTAATAAAAAACATTATATAATAACTGCTAGACTACCGTGAATAACATTATGCATATTTTCTTAAAAACATGGCCTTAATTGTATAAGTAGATAATTCAAGTAGCTTAAAACCTGAGCTGCATAAAAAACTTGTATATAAATCTTTGAGGTTTTAGTTTAATTAAAAACTCTCCAAAGCCTCCTTTCCTTTTCATTTTAATATTTGATTTGGATTCATTTCACATCTAGAAAAGTGTTGATATTGGCATAAGACAAGCTCTTCGGTGTTAATATGCGTTATTATTTGTTTCTTTTCATTTGAGAATGTAACCAGAATGTGAATAGGGAAGGTTGTAGAAGAATATTACTAAATCATAACTCAACCGTATTTTGATATGTTCTACTTGCTAATCTATATCGTACAAAGTTCGGTAAATTACAAAGAACAACCAACGCCTAAATTTCACTTTAACATATGTCTGATAGGGAACGTATCTTGCACCTTACTGATGTTCTGGCAGTTTTGACACATCTGTTGAAAGCTGAGCTAGAAGTGATAATATTTGTGTAACATAAGCCCTCTATTTGGTTAGGTAGAATTACAGTCATTATACAATGAAGAAAGGTATTAAGTTGTTGTTAGTTTGACAACAATTGTTGTTAGTTTAAGGTATTAAATTGTTGTTAGTTTGGCATGCCATCTTTAAGCATCATATTTATATATGGTAAATTTAATTGCTAAGATGAGAAAAGTATACACACTGAGGAATTCATTCTGATGTAATGGTGTCAGAAAAAATAGATTAATTTCGTTGCTGTGTTATGGAACAGCTTTATTTAAAAACTACTGTTTTTGCAGCATTGTTTACAATTACTTTTTAATACATTGTAAATTACTTAATGTTTCAACTATACTTTCAACGATAGATAGATACTGTTACAATTTCGAATGGTCTGATACTGAG